AACCCAGTGGGCTTTACGTAAATTGGACTGGCAGTAGCTCCCAGTGATGATGGATATCAGGTCTGCTAGTCTAGGGAAGGAATTTGCTTCACTTTGGGAAGCGGTGTTACTAATAGCATGTACATAAAATGTGTTAACTGGCTGTACATAATCTTTGATACACCATCTTGCGGCGTTACCTTTTTCCTGCAAAAAACAACCGGAAAACCAGAGCAACATCCGAGTTGTGTGTTACACCTCTGACGCTGAGCAGTGTGAAATTAGGGAACCCTTCGGTTTGCGGTCCCGTGCCTTGGGTCCGAGGGGTGGCTTGAGCAGGTCTCAGCATCCCAAACTCTGGCAGGGGCGATGGCTCACTGAACGGGCAATGGCCAGCTGCCAGCAGCCGAGCCTAGAGGAGGAGGAGAAGTGACAGGGGCAGTCTGGAGTTGACATAAAGCTGAATCTGGAGCCTTTCATCTCTGTTGAACCACATTTTGGGGATCCTTCTGTGAAGAACCCCAGGCATAAACTTGGGTTTCTAAAACAGAAGAGAATTCCAGTAGTGAGGCACTGGCACAGGTTGCCCAGAGGAGTTGTAGATGCCCCATCCCTGGAAGTGTTCAAGGCCAGGTTGGATGAGGCTTTGGGCAACCTGGTGTAGTGGAGGGTGTCCCTGCCCATGGCAGGGGGGTTGGAACTGGATGATCTTTGAGGTCCCTTCCAACCCAAACCATTCCATGGTTCCATGAATTGCTGCATTTCCTTGGGAAGCATAGGTCTCACGCGTTCTTGCTGAGGAGAACTTGCAGCAGAGTGAGTCGGTTACTGGGTGGGGAGGAGCGGAGGATTAGCCAAAGCACAGCAGCAGGAGTGTATGAATTAATTATGTGTGCATTTAAATGTTGGATGAATATATTTATTTTAAACATAAACAGGAGTTGCATGCCACCGACTCCTCTGCCTGGTAGCCGAGGCCTGAGAAGAGACGTGGCTGATGTCCACGTTCAGAGGAAGAGTCCAAGGGCTGCTGCCTTTGAACGAGCGTGGGAATATCTGAGAGCAGTCAGGAAGCTGCTCTGCGGCATCCCGCAGGGAGGGAACGGGTCGTGTTTCCACTAATCTGGATGAGATGGAAATAAAGACAAGTCAAAACTGATGGCTGAAGTAGTGTAATGTGATCCGTTTCCTAAAATACTTTTCTATCAAATCTTTACCTTTTTTTTTTTTTTCCTCTTTCTCGTGCTGCTTGGGTTTGTTTCCGTAACACTGAACGCTGTACACTCGCTTTTTCTTGAGCTTTCCACATGATAGGAGGAAGAGCAGCACTCAGACGAGTTATGGTGCTGTAAGCGGAGCAGTTTGCTCCGGTGGCGGTGTAGATGGGGTCAGCCAGGTTTTCATGCCATCCTTCACAAGCACCTGTTTAGATTAGCATCTTTCTACTGCTGCTGATCACTCTTGTAATACTAGTTTTCCTAGAGGAGGTGCACTGTAAACTGCCACCTCCTCTTAACAGGAGGGCAGGGTGAGGCAGGAGGGAGCAGGAGTTTTCCTTGGGGCCTGGCAGCCGTCCTCACCAATCCGTGCCAAAGCATCTCTGACACCGGTGGGCAGAAACGGTTGGGAGTGAGAAGCCGGTAAGAATAGCCCGTTGCTGAAAGGGCAGAAAGATGAAGAATGAGAACACGAAATTACAAAAATAAGATTCTCCCTTGAGTTTATGTAATGGGTCTCTTACACGCCACGTATCTCTCTACAGCATACGGTGGTTTTGTACTGTGTGCTGTGTTGTTAACCCTCAGGAGGCTGTTCACAGCATTTGCTGTTATCCCATGACATATATCCCATGACATATATTAGGCAGAAAATGTTTGAGGGTACATGAAAGTCAGGTTCATAGGATCATTCAGGTTGGAAGGTTGCTCAGGAGTTGTTCTTGGCTGTCTTTGTATTCGAATCGGGGTCAGGTACAAGATCAAAGCAGGTTACTCGTGGCTTTATCCAACTGGGTCTTGAAAACCTCCAAGGAGGGAACTGCACAACCTCCTTGGGCAGCTCCTTCCACTGCTTGTGTGTCCTCATGGTGAAAAAGTTGTTCTGACTTTGAGGCCAGTGTGGTTCACTGTAGTTCAAATGTGTAAGTTCTGCAGCTGCTGACTTCCTAAATAAGAAATACTTGTTCAAAAGTTTAACGTTTTGCTCTGTGCTTTTTATCATTTTGTGCAGGAAACTACTCCAGACCACCGACGTACAGCGGTGTGCCCAACACAAGTTACAGTGGCCCAGGACCTGGCATGGGTATAAATGCCAACAGTCAGATGCACGGACAGGGGCCAAGCCAGCCTTGTGGTACCATGCCCCTGGGACGGATGCCGTCAGCTGGGATGCAGAGCAGACCATTTCCTGGAAACATGAGCAGTATGACCCCCAATTCTCCTGGCATGTCTCAGCAGGGAGGCCCTGGGATGGGCCCACCCATGCCAACTGTGAACCGTAAGGCGCAGGAGGCGGCTGCTGCAGTGATGCAGGCTGCTGCAAACTCCGCTCAGAGCAGGTATGCATCCAGGTGAAAGGAGCTGAAACGAGGAGGAATGTTTTTCTGGTCATTTCTGACGTAACGGCACTGTATAGGTGTGTGCAGATGCATTTGTGTATGTTCTGTCTGTGCCCTTATCTCTGGGACGAGATGGCACATGGGAAGAGTACTTTTCCTTGAATGTAGGGGGGAAGCACGCTGTCGTGGGTTTGAGTTATCCTCTTGAAAAGCAGCTGTAACAACGGAGACGATGGCCACGTCCAGTTTGGTTCTTGGCACTGCAGGCTTTAGGAGGACACACAGGGTTGCAGTGACATTAGGAGTGGAAAACAAGCCCTCTGCAGCTGAAAACTGCTTAGCTGAATACATGGGGTTTATTTCCGGTAGAGAGAGGGCCAGCGTGTCCTTGGCACCTTGCCCCTGACGGAGAGCAAGGCAGCTTAGGAAGCTGCCCATCAACCCTTGTGTTTACTGCCCGCTTTGTGAGCAGCAGTGCTGATGGCAGCTCTTTCCTACGGGATGTTTTCTTAGGCTGGCATGCCGAGGGGGAGAGGAGGGCAGGCCGAGGGGAGCAGCTGGAGGGGAAAGGCAGAAGGAGGCATAAAAGCAATCTGGAGTTGATAACTGCCACTTACAGATCCGTAAGAGAGAACCTGCAAACAGGATTGTAGAGGTTGGAGCCATCATCTGTCTTCTTGTCTCCCCTACAGGCAGCGTAACTGCGTGTTGCCAGTTGTGCGTGGATTTTGGCAAAGGCACCTTTTGATTCATGGTTATCCGTAAGGTGCCTGAAATCATATTTTCTGGGAAATTTTTCAGCTGAAGTAGTTGCCGCGTTTCCCTGGACTCAAATAACTCCTGGTGCATTTATTATCTTGTTGTGTTACGAGAAGTTCCATTGCATTTGGGAATGATGCAAAACTGGTTGCACTGTTCTGGTGAGCGTGTTTATATGCATCTGTGTATTAAGCATCTTACATTTATTTATGCATACACAGATGCCCACATGTACGTACAGGTATTTATCATCCAAGACCAGTGTTTCTGGACACTAGAGTGGCTCTAATTCCAAGACATGGTGTAAAACCAGGAGTGGGGAGCTGGCGTGTCCCTGTATCTGTTGCTTTCTTGTTTTGCAAGTTTGGAAGGCAGGTGGCTTCTAGTGATAAGCAATAGCAGCCTTTTCAAACAGTAACAGTAAATTTAGTGTGCTTCATGTTCAGTAAAATAGAACCACGCTCCCTTAAAACAGACCATATTCCAGCAGGTATCTGTGAACCAGCAGTCTCTTCTTGGTGTTTTTATAGACCTGTCGAGTAGGATTTACAAAAGTCTGCGTCCGTCTGTCTGGTTTAGGCTATAAGCTGATGGGTCAGGCACGAAGGAATAAACAGGCCATCTCTGCAGCTGCAGGAACACTTTCTTTATAATCGTGTAAGGAAAGGAAAAGCTCATGTTTGTTGGTCTTTACAGCAAGAAAAGACTTTGTGTGAGGCAGAAAGCGTTTGGTTGTGATTCAACTTGGGCTTTGGACATAGGGTGTGGTGTTTGAGAGTGATTACCGCTCCTAAGACAGTTTTGTAAAACTGCTTTTGGTTTCTAGCTTTGCCTGGGCAAAACGGCACCATTTCAGAGCTTTTCCATGATGTACTGCCCATTCCAGTGATCCAGCCCCTGTGGAAGGGCTGAGCAGTCATCAACTCTCTACTGCAAGTACTGGCAAAAGGGCTGTTTCTAACTGCAGGTTGAGCGAAACCCGTCACACCTCTCTGAAGCCAGGGGTTGCAAGCACACTGTCTTCCTCCTGGATCTCAAGTCAACTGTAGGGGAGACAGTGTGATGGCTTTTGGCTGTTCTTGCAAGTCTGGTGTATGGAAGGAGCGTACTTGACAGTGATTTGTGTTTGTGATGCAGAGCAAATCCAAAGAGGCTGTTCTTTGTTCTGCTGTAGGCCACCATACATTAGGTCGCTTCCTTGTCCCAGCCAGTCTGGGGCTGGTGGACATCCCCTGTTTTCTTCACAGCAGCCCAACTATGGCAAAGCTCAGGCTCCCTTGGCACACCAGCCTGACCTGTACGGGTAGGTAGCAATGTAAACCAGACTTGCTGTGGGACCTTGGCAACTTTTTTTACGAGTGCACCCTCAGCAAGTTTGCAGGTGACACCAAGCCGTGTGGTGTTGTGGACACGCTGGAGGGGAAGGGATGTCATCCAGAGGGACCTGGACAGGCTGGAGAGGTGGGCCTCTGAGAACCTCATGAAGTTCAACAAGGCCAAGTGCAAGGTCCTGCACGTGGGTCGGGGCAATCCCAAGCACAAGTACAGGCTGGGCGGAGAATGGATTGAGAGCAGCCCTGAGGAAAAGGACTTGGGAGTGCTGGTGGGTGAGAAGCTCAACATGAGCCGGCAACGTGTGCTGGCA